TCTGCTATGTACGTAGTTATTTTTATCCAATAAAAACCACAAATATTAAAAAAAAAATTGGATTGTCCTAATGAATATCAATTTTCAGCCTTATGATCAGCACAATTTCGCGAACGCTGTTGTAGCAGATTAGAGGTGCATATTCCAACAAGGCAGGACCGAGGTTCGATTCGTAGTCCACCACCGTCAAAAAATTGTTTATTCTAATAGCGGTCACCCCTCGACAGGCGATGGCAAACCTCCGAGTGTATAACAACATTAAGGTTCACACCACAAATTGAAGGAGAATCTCGACTAGGGACTAAGCAAAATGTGTAAGGCCCCAAATGTTTATTGCAGTAGACACAATAGCCGAAGTATTAGCAAGATTGAAAACATTTTCGCTTTTCAAATTTTTAATTGAATTTAATAACTTAATAACTTACATTTGATATAAATTCTAATTTATTATCTCCATCGGTCTCGAACCTACGCATTCGTTCCAAATATAACTCAATAACTAGCAAATCAGTCAATGCCTCATCTGTTAATTCACTAGAATATTTATTTACGAGTACTGCATGGAGTCCATATATGCACGTGTATGTTTGATATTTTACTAGCTAAATATGTATACATACATACTATGTATGTACATGGGGGAATGTAATGATTGAAACACTTAAATATAAAATTATCTTACATAATAAAAATATTGGTTTTCTATATATTTACGATTACTGGATGTATAGTTAAAATATCATAAATGCCAAATGTGTGCCTAAGACTGTGTGCATTTTAACTACAGCTGCTTTTTGTCCAATTTTGTACAGTTATTTGGTGCCGATGACTTTGTCGTGGCACTTTCTGAAGGCGATTCTGAAGACTTTAATGTTCCCTTTTTACTTACGTCGGGGGAAGTTTGTGTTGAATTCGCAGGTTGAATGTTACAAACGCTGCCAGCCAGCTGCTTATTCACCGCTTTAAGCGGCTCCGATGAATCCGATTTAAACGGTCGGTTTCCACTGCTTAGATATAAATGTGGGGTATCAATCCAAATGCGACGCGCTGTTAGCATACAAGTGTCTTTGACATTTAAAACCAACTGGAGCATACCATCAATCAGAGCTCCGATGCTGTCAAATTCATTGGGTACGATGCCATCTATAGAGCTCTCAAAATAGCTAAACATTGGAAACCAGATGCGGGTACGGTTTGAATCATGCGACATAAGAGCCTGTAAATATATTAACAAAAAGATGTATTTCTTTTAGTGCACATTTTTTATCATTGCTGAAAATTTACCTGATTATTGGCTAGCGTGTGATAATACAGAAAGAGGCGCGATGTTATGTAAAATGCGACAAATACATCTATTGAGTAGTGCTCGTGTGCGGCGAGTATGAAAAAAATGCCAAACATATTCAAAAGCCAGGTCAACGTGTGCAAAAAATACAAATTGCGCGGTGTATCTGTTTAAGATAAAAAATATAAATTTAATATATGTAATTTCATATTGTTTCTGAAATGGTCAAAGACGCCAATTTCTATATTTTAAGGTTTTTGGTAGTTTATATTCTATGTTACATACAAACAATATACACATGTATAATAACTAACAAAAGTTTAAATTTATATATTTAAACGGTAATGTAAAATTTAGATTAATGCAGATGTCGGTTTACCCTACCAAACTTGGGGAGAGGGTAAGTAGGGGGTGAACTCCCTGATAAGCACCAATTTTTTTAGGTAAAAGTGTTACCGTTTTTTGAAATATTGATATTTTTTGAATTAGAAAAAATCGGGCCTATTCATTTATTTCCTTTAACTGCATGTACAAACAAGGCTATACTTAGTAAATTTTTTTTTTGTAAAATGCTTCCAAAGTACAAAGGTACGTTATTACCTGCTCCTGACATTATTTTATGACACTTAAAAAAAAGATAATAATAAAGAAAAACGGTGACACTTTTACCTGAAAAATTATTGCTTATGAGCGAGCTCACCACCTCTTCTCAAGTTTGGTAGAGTACTTCTTAGACACACATGTACATATCGATGGCTGAGTGGAAGATCGATCTATCTCGGCAGCCAGTTCAAAAACGCACTATTTCAGAATTTGGCTGAAGAACGCCCTATTTTACAATTTTTTTTTAAAAATGCGATATCTTAGAATTCGGTTCAAAAACACCCTTTCCAGTTGCCGATTCAAAAACGCCTTATCTTAGCCCATTTTCAATGAATTTTCGTATGAGATAGGGCGTTCCTCAACCAAATTCTGAGATAGTGTTTTTTAATAAAATTCTGAAATAGGGTGTTCTTCAATCAAATTCTGCAGTAGGGCGTTCTTGAAAAGTTCTCTGAGATAGGTCGTTTACGAACTGGCTGCCAAGATAGGTCGATATTCCACTCAGCTATCGATTGTAGTTGTGTATTTTTATACCCGAGCGCACTTGTGCACAAGGGTATTATAACTTTGTTCACATAACGGTTGTTTGTAACAGGCAAAACGAATCGAGATAGATATAGACAAATGTATACATAAATGATCAGAATGAAAAGAGAAATCGATTAAGCGGTGACTGTCTGTCCGTCCGTCCGTCTGTCCGTCCGTCTGTGCACACGATAACTCGAGTAAAAATTAATATATCTTAACGAAACTTGGTACGTGTACTTCTTTCGGGCGTAGGACGGCCGGTATTGAAAATGGGAAAAATCGGACAATAACCACGCCTACCTCCCATATAACGGTAATTTTCAGAAATACGAAATCTGCGATATTTTTGTAACTACTGAAGATTATTCACTCAAAATTGATATTTACAATAACTTTTAGACCAAAAATAGAAATATTATAAATTTTTGAAAAATGGGCGTAGCCACGTCCACTTATTCTTACATGTGTATATCTTGGCAACCGCTGCACCGATTTCTTCCAAACTTGGCAGTTATTGGCCTTAGTACAGGATACCAAATGGCCGAAAATTTATTTTTTTCGGACAATAACCACGCCCACATCTCATATAACGGTAATTTGGAGAAATACGAAATCTTCGATAAATCAGTAAATATTAAAGCTAATTTATTCAAAATTGATGCTTGCAACAATCCTTTACCAAGAAATACGCTTATGATAAAATTTTGGAAAATGGGCGTGGCACCGCCCACTTATGATCACATATATATATATCGGTAACCGTTCAACCAATTTGTACCTAACTCGGTATTTTTATTGTGCTTGCCACATAAAAGCAAAACGTTGAAAATTATTGAAAATTCCGGCCGCTTTTCATATAACGGTTAATTTCAGAAATGCTTGAAACTGCAATATTTCGAAATTTAAGGACGCTAATTTACTGAAAATTGATACACCCCGGCTAACCATCTAGCGGTAGGTTTCGGAAAGGGGAAAAAACATTTATTTAATATTTGCGCCGGGTATTTAATGTTCGGCTCCGCCCGAACTTAGCCTTTCTTACTTGTTATTTAAGCGCTTATAATTTCCATATTTATTATTCTATTTAGATAAGCAGGATCTTATTATATTTGTAAAAAATTATATTTTGACGTTCAAGAAAGAAAGCAGAAGTAAACATACTTCCCGTGTTGATGTTTATACAAAAAAATAAGTTTTCTTTGGAAGTGTCTTAAAAAATTATGCGAAATTGGCAATAAATTAATGAATGCCAGTTTCACGAAAGCAATTTAAGTGAAAAAAATAAAAAAATTCTGTCAGTTGCCATTATAAATTCAAATAAAAATATCATGTTACACTTAAATTTCCTTCGTGAAACTGGTTATGATAATCTGGTTGGAAAATGTCTTTGACATAGATGATGGTAAATTTAATAAGCTATACTAGTGTATAAAGATGCCAAACTATATAAAAAAAAAA